TAAGATACAAATTAAAAACATACATTACAACAATAACAGTAATACAATGACACCCTCCCTTAAAAGACTAAATACAATATTTTTCAGGCTAGGCCCGATTAGAGTTGGCCTGCCTTCTCTCCCTCCAGGTGATGGTGGATGGAGGGAGGGCCTTTTTCTTTTCACGCCAGGCCCAATGGAGCCGGCCTGCCTTCTCTCCCTCCAGATGATGGTGGATGGAGGGAGCACCGTCTTCTTTTCAGGAAGCGGGATTTAAAACCTCTTCTTCCCCAGCTGCAGGTGATGTACGTAGTTGTTGCTGCTGTGCTGCAGTTGGGTCCCTACACTTTAATGCCCTTTGCGCTCCTCCTCTGCCACACAGCAGGCCCTGATGTTACTGGGCAGGGGAGGAATTCCACAGTCTAGTCCTCTGAGGACGCTGCAGATGATGTTGTTGGAGCTGCTGTTAAGTGCTGCTCTCTAGGAACCTTCGGGTCTCAGCTTCTCTTGCCTCCTTCAGCCTCTTCTGCCTGCTTTTAAGGCAGGGCAGAAGTAGTAGAACAGCAGTTGGTAAGTGCTGCTCTCTAGGAACCTTCAGGTCTCAGCCTCTCTTCTCAGCTTCAGTTATCTTGTCTTAAATAATGGTGATTCAGATGTTACAGGAAAGGTGCTATATGTAATGCTTTCAACTCCTGAAGACTGAAGAAAGAGCTTCTGAGCCTCAGTTTGAAGAAAGATAGGATTCAAGGGCTTCTTCAGGTCCCTTCTGCAGCTTCTTTGCCTCTTGTTTCCAAAAGGGAGGACTGGTGCCAATGTGCCATGGTGGGTGTCCACCTTTGTGAGGGATCACTCCTACCACATTGCTCATCCTGTGGCTGCATCCACTTTGTAAAACCACCACAACAATGTAGCTTGACACCACTTTAACTGCCATGGCGCCATCCTACAGAATCCAGGGATCTGTAGTTTTGTGAGGCACCAGCTCTCTTTGGCAGAGGAGGCTAAAGACCTTGCAAAACTAAAAACCCCAGGATTCCATAGGATGGAGCCACAGCACTTAAAGTGGTGCCAAATTGCATTATTTCTGCAATGTAGATACACCCATAGGAGACACTGATCCTAGGTTCCTTGACTCCCATAATTCCTTGGATTTATGGGGGTGGTGGTGGAGGGGAGGCTTTAAACTAGCTGCAAGAGTGGGCTGGCAATCCAGGGCTGCAGAACAACTCCCCCCCGCCCCCGTGGCATTGCAGGCACCCTGTCACTGCTTTTCTGGGGATGAGAGAGTGTGACTGGCCCAAGGTCACCCAGAGGGTTTCTATGGCTGAGCGGGATTGGAACCCTGGACTCTGAGTGGTAGACCCTGACGTCACCAAAGGATACCGGCTGTCAGAAAGGGGGGGGCATCTAGCCTTCAATTTTGCCCTTGGACTCCCCCCCCCCCCCCATAATAGCTGGGGGGAGGGGAAGTGGTGGAGGCCAAAAAACAGCTGCACCCACTGAGCAGGTCCTTGGACGAGACACACTCTCTCAGGGGAAGTCAGTGGCAAGCCCCCCCCCCAAAAAAAAAATCGTGCCAAGAAAACCCCACGTTGGGGCTTAGGGTTGTCATAAGTCAGAAACGACTTGAATCTGGTGCCACAACAAACTACACTTCCCAGAATTCCACTGCATGGAGCCGCAGCACGGAAAACGGTGTCGAACTGGGTTATTTCTGCACTGCGGGTGCAGCCCTGGCGCGTGATTTCCTGGACTGCGGGGCTGGCGAACTTGTGGGCTCCCCAGACTTGTGGACTCCAATTCCCACAATCCCTCGCCTTAGGCTTGACGGCGGAGGCTTCTGGGAGTCGAAGTCTCCAGGGCCCGAGAGAGTCGCTTCTCGAGTGTCCGCTTCCCTTAACAAACGGGGCCCTTGTTCTCCTTGCAAAGCCTGGAAAGGGGACCCTCTATTCGCACAATCTGCCATTTGGTCACGGATTCTGGGAGCTGCGGTCCAAAAGAGAGAAGAAACCCTTCCTAAGCTCTGCCTTTCCCCGTCTGGCCTTCGTCCCTCCCTTCCTGAGGCGGCTTCGAGGTGGTAACTAGGGACTCCTCTGAGGGAAATGCTCCGAGTGAACTGGACCACGCTGCAATGGGTTTACTCGCTGGTAAGAGTCGGCGACTCTGGAGAGCAGGGTTCGAATCCCGCTGGGTGGCCTGGGGCCAGTCACACTCTCTCAGCCTCAGAGGATGGCCATGGCAAACCCCCCTGAAGAAGCTTGCCAAGAAAAAACCCATGATAAGGTCGCCTTAGAGACGCTAGAAGTCGGAAACAATAACAGTGGCTGCATCTGCACTGCAGAAATAATCCAGTTTGAGACCCCTTTAACTGCCCTGGCTCAGTGTTATGGAATGCTGAGATTTGTAGTTTTGTGAGATATTTAGCCCTTCTGTCAGAGAGCTCTGGTGCCACAACAAGCTACAAAACCCAGGATTCAATAGCATAGAGCCAGGGCAGTTAAAGTAGTGTCAAACTGGATTATTTCTGCAGTGCGGATGCAGCCAGAGCCTTGTGACCCTTTTGTGTATGCTCCTCCAAGATACCTGTTGACATATGGTGACCCCATGGATTTCATAGGGTTTCCTTAGGCAAGGAATAAATACTCAGAGGTGGTTTGTCCAGTTCCTTCCTCTGGAGTATAGCCTACAGTACCTGATGTTTCCCATCCAGTTATCAACTAGGGCTGACCCTGCTTAGCTTCCAAGATCAGAGGGGATCTGGTGCTTTTAGAGTATTTTCACCATGCTGGAATTAATATTGTTAGTCCCTTTGCTAGTGAAAATTTGTCATTTCAGCTGTGGCTTACAATCTTACTTAAATGTACAGTGCAAGCTCTAAGTGTGTTTGCAGTAAGCTCTGAACCTGCACCATGGAGACATTTCAGGATTCAGTCTTAAAGGGCCTGTCCTGAGAGTTTAAGACTTGAGAGATCCACTGAGAAATATTTTAGGAACCATCATGGAAAATAAAAGCCTGCCCATAGTTGAAAAAGTAAGGGACAAATGGCTAGCAGCACATGCCCCTCCTAAGTTTTGGCCATTTGAAGGCCAAAATAAAAACCTGACACCCGCCTCTCAAACTTTTTTTTATAATATATTCTTTATTTGATTTTAAAATATGAAATAATAAGTCTGACATTGTATACATTCATGCTGCATCCATGCAACTGCTTGGTGAGAAATACGTAGTATCTTAACATCAATTATTATGTCTCATTATCTACCCATCCAACTATGTTTTTGCAGGGTGATTTTCTTCTCTCCTGTTTTCTCCCATCCTTTCATTCTCACCTTGTTTCTTCCTGCTTTTCTTCTACATTTCCTTGCATCAGTCACCAAGAGTAGATTCTCCCCTATCATTATGTCTTGCTTTGT